CCCAGGACCACCTACCTGCCTAGGGATGGTACTGTCTACAGTGTGGCTGAGCTCTCACCCTCCAATCATTAATCTAGAAAGCCACACAGGCTTGCCTACAAGTTAATTCGGTAAGAGGCATTTTCTCAATTGATGCCCTTCTTCCCACAGAACTTAAGCTGTGTCGAGTTGACAAAAATGAATCAAAACAAAGTTTCACTGCTGGAGACTGACCACAGCACTAATATGTGTATAAACATCAATACTCAGAAGGCAGTCAGACAATCTGCCCATGTAGCAAGAAAACTTTTTACCGTGGCAGTGATTTTGGATTTACAACTGGGCAAACTGCCGGGAATATGGGTTTGTTGCTGAAACATAGTGGCCTAATGCTCAGAAAATAACCATGCACCTGTACCATAGTTTCCAAGGCTCAAGGAACATCTCAGAAGAGTGGAGAGAACGTAAGTGCTAGAGGAAGAGGTGAAGGGCTGAAGAATCTTGTCCTTCGGGCATGTAAAGGTGTTAGCCGGCACAACTCAGAAGGCTTCTCCTCTCCGAGGCTATATAGTGGTTAACAATTGCGTGGATTGCCGGGCGGTGGTGGCGCACGCCTTTAATCCCAGCACTCGGGAGGCAGAGCCAGGTGGATCTCTGTGAGTTCGAGGCCAGCCTGGGCTACCAAGTGAGTCCCAGGAAAGGCGCAAAGCTACACAGAGAAACCCTGTCTTGAAAAACCAAGAAAAAAAAAGAAAAAGAAAAAAAAAAACAAAACAATTGCGTGGATGAGGGTGAGCGGCTTTCCATGGTGCACCAGGCAGTAAGTTGCCTGTGCTCCATATCTACACAAAACTCACTGGTTCATTAGTTAGCTTTGAGCAGAACAATTTCTTTGGAGTAGACTTCCCAAGAAAGTCCAACAACAAAAGCTATAAGAGGGGCTGGAGAAATGGCTCAGCGGTTAAGAGCACTGGCTGCTCTTCCAGAGGACCTGGGTTCAATTCCCAGCAACCATAGGGCAGCTCACAAAAGCTATAAGAAATGTTGGGTGCAGCTGGATTAGCTGAACTCTGAATTCTGTTTCCTTTTCAACGTGCTTGGAGAGTGACAAAAGACAACACCGGTCTGCTTTTCACTGTGTTAGGGGACTAACACTCCTTTTTTCACTCTAAAAGCCCATCATGAGGTGTCCAAGTGAAATGACAGCAAACATGAAATAATAAAGGTAGTTAATATGAAGTAGCTGGAGAATTAAGAAGACAACAGTAGATCACAAAAATGTACTTTATTTATTTATTTATTTATTTTTGAAACAGGTTTCTCTCTGTAACAGTCCTGGCTGTCCTGGAACTCCCTCTGTAGACCAGGCTGGCCTCGAACTCAAGAGATCCGCCTGCCTCTGCCTCCAGAGTGCTGGGATTATTATAGCATATTTCTCTCTCTCTCCTGTGTGTGTGTGTGTGTGTGAGTGTGTGTGTGTGTGTGTGTGTGTGTGTGTGCGCGCGTGTGTGTGTTGGGTTGAACTCAGGGCCTAATACATGCTATGCACATGTTTACCACTAAGCTCCAACTTCATATATAGTATTTCTTAACAATGTTTTATAGTTACATAATGAAACATAATCATTGAAAGAAATGACAGCTGAATATTATAAATACATCGAGTGAAGAAATTCCAGTCTCTAGACTACATACAGTATGATGCCATTTCTATAAAGTTCATAAAGGAACAAAACTGAGGAGATTACCTAAGAGATACACATGTATTTTAGGTCTTTTTGCCTATGATTAAAGCTATTTAAACAGAAGCAGGGAAGGAGTAGAGAGAAGTAGGAACTCAAACGGGAAAAAGCATTGGTTTAAAAATTATATTGTGTCTTTTTGGAGACTTGGTCTCACAATGTAGCCCTGACTGTTCTGGAACTTGATACGTAGACCAGGCTGGCCTCAGACTCATAGAGATCTGCCTGCTGCTGACTCCAGCCAGAGTGCTGGGAATAAAGGTGTGGACTACCTCACCTGGCTAGCACTGGTAATTTTCTGGTTTTGCTTTTGTGGTCCTGGGGATTGACCCAGGGCTTTTCGTATGCTAGGCAAGCATTAGTCCCAGCACTGGTAATGATTTTAATTCTTAATTTAGATAATGTTATCCTTTTATAAATGTCCAATATTACATAAAATTTAAATACAAAGATAACAAAGTACTGATAAAATTTATATGTGCATGGATGTTTAAAAATGTATGTCCCTAATCTGTTTTCTTAGTTACAGGCAACTCAGGGTAGTTTTTTAGTTTTTCTTTTTCTTTCTTGGTTTTTCTTTTCTTTTCTTTTTTTTTTAAGGCTTATTTATTTATTATGTATACAGAAGAGGGTGCCCGATCTCATTACAGATGGTTGTGAGCCACCATGTGGTTGCTGGGAATTGAACTCAGGACCTCTGGAAGAACAGTTAGTGCTCTTAACCTCTGAGCCATCTCTCCAGCCCTATTGTTTGTTTTTTTGAGACAGGGTTTCTCTGTGTAACAGCCTTAGCTGTCTTGGAACTCACTTTGTAGACCAAGGTGGCCTCGAATTCACAGAGCTTGCCTCTCTCTGTCTTCCAAGTGTTGGAATTAAAGGCTTGCGCCATCATGCCCGGCTAATTCTGGGTAGTTTTAATAAAAGAGACTTTATTAAAAGTATTTCTCAAGATCTCTTGGGCAGCCAGGAAATAGAGAATGTCTGCAGTGAAGCCCTGTCTCTACTGCAGACACAGCTTACAGAGCTGATGGCTGGCATTCCAAACTCATTTTTGCTCTTCATCTATGGAGTTGAATGCAGCAGCCAGTGTTGCTGGTCACCAGCTTCAAAGGATTCTGTATTCTGCTTTGCCATATCACCAACTTTGAAATTCAAGGCAGCTATATCTTGCCTAGCTGCAAAGGAGGCTGGAAAACATCTGGTACTTCCAAATTCCTTAGGAAAGAGGAAGCTCTGACACAGTAGACAAGGGAACCCTACCTAGGTAGGGGTTAGGACACTGGGCAGTCAGTAAAGAAATAACAGGTGTCTACGAGAGCCCATTTTCTTGGTGACTCAACATAAGTATCTCTGCAGCTAATAATTTAAACTTGCTAAAAAAGTATATTTACAGTAAAACAACTAAATGTAACAATCACGCATTGCTGTTTTCTCAATATTATTTCTCTTTGCTAAGAGAATACTGACTTTATTTGGCATGGCTGTGAATCTAGCCTTCTTTACACCTGGACATGTGTATTTAGTATGTGAGGCAAATATGGAGAGGAAAACTCCATTTATTATTTCTGGAAACCTTTGCTTTTCCCATGCATCTCCAAGGCAGGCAGTTTCCTATTTTTGCCTGCCTTCCACATGGGCATGACATCTGACACAGCAGTAATCTACAACAACAAGAAAACAGCATGAAAGACGAAAGCCACCATGATAAGATGGTACCCTGTAAAGAAATACACCCTTTCTTCTTCACAGCGAGGACCATCATATGCACAACATTCTAGGAAACATACAACAACACATTCCTATTAGTTGACCCTACTAAACTGAATGCATGGTATTTCCCAGTACCCAGGCTATGGTGTTTCTCTTGCCCTTGTAAATAAGAACGATTTTGCCAACCAAAATCCATGAGATCCACACAATATTTGGCATTTAAAGGCATCTTAACTTGGTGCTTAAGAAACGCACTGAAGAGTGCCTGGGTGTGAATCCTGGCTCTACTTGGACAAATAAGAACCTTCTAGTGTGTGAAGAACTGTAAAGAGTTAAAATGGAGATTCTGTGTCAGTGTCTGACGCAGAAAAGCCCTCAGTACAGCACGAGGTATAATCATTGCAGAACTATCTAGACCGCTTCTGCAGCTGTTTTCTAGGTCGACTCCTAGCAACTCCTGTCAACTGTTGGATTCTCAAGTTTAAACAGTCCTTTCTGTGTTCTAAATACACTTATATCAGATTTATCATACTGCATCATAATTATATGAACAACATTTTGTTTTGTCTTTTGAGACAGGGTCTCTTGTAGCCCAGGCTGGTTTCGAACTTGCTATGTAGCCAAGGATGATCTTGGATTCCTGATTTTCCTGCCTTTGCCTCCAAGTTCTGGGAATACAGGCATGTGCCACCACGCCTAGCTTATCTGGCGCTGAGTATCAAGGCCAATGCTCTGTGAAAACCAGGCACCACACCAGCTGTTACATCTCCAACCCTCTATGTATACTGGCTTGACTCCCTTTACCATGCTTTTCTTTTTAAAGTCTTAGGTCTGTTCTCCCCGCCGCCCCCCTCCAACTCATGTAACTCCTAATGAAGTCTTGCTCTTTGCACAGACAATACACATACTTTGTTGTTTTTGTGTGGGAGGTCAGAAGATAACTTGCAGGAGTTAGTTCTCGCCTTCCACATGGGTTCTGGTGATTGAACTCTGGCCATCAGGCTTCGTGGCAAGCACCTTTACCTGCTGAGTCATCTCACTGGCCCTAAGACATATTCTTCAACTAGTATTGTCATTTTATGGGATGGTTATTAAAATGTAAGTTTCAGATTCCATACATAAATTTCTATTTCAATAGGTGAGTGAACAACACATTAAGGAACATGGAAATAGAGTTCAGTGATAAATTATACATATGGTACTTGTGCAATGAGTACCTTATTAATATGCTATGTGTACAGCTATACTGTGAATATGTTGTGCTAACGGCAGACTGCTTATGAACTGTCACTTGACAAGGTTGCTATAGATCTGAAAAAACCTCTCTCTTCTTCTTCTCCTCCTCCTCCTTCTTGTTCTTCTTCTCCTTCTCCTCCTTCTTCTTTTCCCCCCAAGACAGGGTTTCTCTGTGTAGCTTTGGCTGACCTGGAACTTGCTCTGTAGACCAGGCTCTGTAGACCAGACTCAGAGATCTTTCTGCCTCTGCCTCCCAAGTGCTGGGATGAAAGGTATGCACCACAACTGCCCAGCCCCTCTACACTTTTTAATTAGACTCATTACTCAGTAAAATTAGCAAATCTTCCCCAGAGGTTTTTATTAGCAAAGATAATTTCATATTAAAATTTCACACACTAAATTCTTCCATCTACTGCAAGAGACATTAACATCTTCACACAAAGTGAAGAGCACTCCTTCTCCATTCAATACACTAGCTCTATATTACCTTCACAGCATTAACACCAGCATAATTTATATGACACAGGGCATTGAAAGCTCAGTATATCCCCAGGACTAAGAGGAAGAGGTTCTTCTGGTGGCTAAGATGGAAAGAGGGAACAAAAGGCAGATAAAGGGCTCCTGTGTACACTGTTGAAACAGACTATCTAGTAACCCTACCATTTTCAATGAAACTTGATTGACAGCTGACAAGTGGTAGAGAACACTTGCTCCTGGATGGGCTTGTGGAGTACACTTTGTCACTTAGGGGAGAGGACACTTGCTTCCGATGGGCTTGTGGAGTACACTTTGGGCACTTAGGGGATACTTCAAGGCAAACGGTTGGAATTGTCAACTACTCTAATTAAAGTTCGTAAGTATTAATGGGATCAGAGGACTCAGAACATTCTGGATAGATTTTGTTGCTTTAGCTCGAATTAGTTCTTTGGACCATACAAAAGAAACTTTACATATAAAACACTAGATCTTTCTTTTCTTTTCTTTTTTGTTTTTTGTTTTTTTTTTTTTTTTGAGACAGGGTTTCTCTGTAGCTTTGGAGCCTGTCCTGGATATTGCTCTGTAGACCAGGCTGGCCTCGAACTCACAGAGATCCACCTGCCTCTGCCTCCCCAGTGCTGGGATTAAAGGCGTGCGCCACCACCGCCCAGCTAGCTCTTTCTTAATATCCTCTTTCGCATGTGGTATGGTGCTTAGTATTGGCAAATATTGACAGAGTTAAGATTTTTTTTTCAGCTATTTTGGGCAAACAAATCATGTAAAAGGAATTCTTTATAAATTTGAGTAAACCAGGAAGGCCAGGGGAAGGTTGACAAGGTGACTAGGAGACCCTCCCTGCACCGGAATCTCAGTTTGTTCTCAATTGCCTGCATGGCATCAGGAATGTAGTAGCTTTCTGTAGGTGATACAGTGCTTCCATGTAAAAATCAAATAAATCTCAGACAGCAGACTACTACTGCCGGTGATAAGCCATCCAAGCAGTGCTATCCTTCACCATCACAGCAATGTACTCATCAATAGTGGGGCACAGTGCCTATGAACTGTGATGTGGGGAAATCTATGACATGTTCTTCACAGTCGGCCAACCACCTAAGCTGAATATTCCCTAGTCAAACAAAAAGCAAGTTGATTGTTGATCAAATAAATAAAAGCTTTTAAATCAGGTGGCATTTAAATCAAGTGCTTGCGTGGGACTGTACATGATGGGGCAGGTCCAAGTTCCTGGGCACCCTCTGAATGACTATGCGATCCTTGTAGGGAGGAGAACAACCCAAACCCAGGTGACTTGTTGCCAAGGATATTTCCCGGGGAATAGTAATAGATCCTCTCAATTAAGAGAAAAGACACCTGACCACGAAGTGTCAACTCCTAGCACCAGAGAGAATCCAAACTCCACAGATGAGTGATGGAACCCAGAGGCTCTGCTTCTGTGAATCACGTTACTTTTGCAAGTGGAAAAAAAAAAATCCAGGTTTACACTAAACATGTACCTTTAAAAAGTTCAACCTCTTAAAAATCCTTAGAAGTCAATTTTATAATCCTATATAAAATAAAATCACTGGTTTATAATAAAATGTTTGGAGTTTCAGAGATGTGAAAAACAAAAATGAACTGAAAACAACAGTTTATATAAATTCAGGTCCCAGAGTAAAAACTGAACGTAGTCTCTGACAAAGGAATGGTGAGACGTGTCTATTTTTGCTAATACACCCCAAACTGTTTTGTGGACAATGAATGGCAAGTGGCAATTTTGAACTGCCATCTCATACCTCTAATCAACACTAACTCAAGTCTGTGGCAAGACACTTGAATGGACGCGTCTTATGGAGAGGTAGTCACTTCTCTCCATGACGGGCCATCTGCAGCCAGAGTTCAGAAGTTCAGTTATTTGATGGGCTGGGAAGCAGGATCCACAGAATTTTCTTTCTCAACCTGAAGAGACTCACTGCTGATGGACAATAATTCTCGAAGTTCCTTATTTTCAAGCTGGGAAAAGAAGATATTTCCTGTGTTTTAATTGTTAAACTATGTCAGAATGTATTATTTGGGGCCAGAAAGAAGAAAAATATTTTTAAAGTTTTAAATGATTAAAAAATATTTTTGAGGCCAGGCAGTGGTGGTGCGCACCTTTAATCCTGGCACTCGGGAGGCAGAGGCAGGTGGATCTCTGTGAGTTCGAGGCCAGCCTGGGCTCCAGAGTGAGTTCCAGGACAGGCACCAAAGCTACACAGAGAAACCCTGTCTCAACCCCGGCCCCCTTAAAAAATATTTTTGAGACACAGTCTCACAAGTAGACTCCCCCGCCCCGAGTTTCTCTGTGTAGTTTTGGTGCCTGTTCTGTATCTCACACTGTAGACCAGGCTGGCCTCAAACTCAGGGAGATCCGCCTGGCTCTGCCTTCTGAGTGCTGGGATTAAAGGCGTGCGCCACCACTGCCTGGCTTCACTAAGTGGACTTTGCTGGCCTACAATTTGACACACAGATCAGGCTGGCCCTAAACTCACAAATATGCACCTATCTCTGCCTCCAGAGTACTGAGATAAGAGCCATGCACCACCATACCTGGACCTTAAATGATTACATTGTTTTCTTTTTAGATTTATTTTATTATTTTATGTGTATGAGTATTTTGCCTGCATGTATGTCTGGGCACCATGTGATGCCTGGTACCCTAGAATGTCAGAAGGGGACATTGGATGCTCTGGGTGTAGAGTTATGTAAGTTGTGAGTTACCATCATGTCGGTGCTTGGAATCGAATCCAGGTCCTTTGTAAGAACAATAGGTGCTCTTAAATATTGAGCCATCTCTCTGGTTCATAATTCAACTAGTACTTTTGGTACTTGACACCTATCACTTCCTTTGATTTCTATCTAGATATGACACTTTACACTCCATCTTTACCACGTCTGTCGAAAATTCTATTTTGAGATAGTGTCTGATGTAGTGGAGGCTGAATTGGAACTCTTGATTCTTCTGTTTCTTTCTGTCTCCTAAGTGCTGGGACTTCAGGTGTGTGCAACCGTGTCTAGCTCTTTACAGGACACACTGATAAACTACAGCATTTCTAGCTTCACCAAAAGGATGAACAGCATGATCAACAAGTCCTCTGCCATATTAATTGTCTCTCAGTATTCTTGAGTCATTTTCACTATGTGTGTGTGTGTTTTGCTTGCACTTATGTATGAGCACCATCTGAGTGCCAGAAGAGGGCATCAGATTCCTGGAACTGGAGTTATAGTTGGTTGTGAATGATCACGTGGCTGCTGGGAACTGGGTCCTCTGCCAGAGCAATAAGTGCTCTTAACTGCTGAGCTATCTCTTTGGTCTCCGTCTTCTGAATCTTTCTTCTAACACTTACATACCATTTCCTACTACGTCCTTCCTTCACTAGATTTGGACAGGGACCTTATCTTTTCCTGTTTGGAATTTCTTTCTCTCTCTCTCTTAAATTTTAAAAAATTATTTATTTATTATGTATACAGTGTTCTGTCTGCACATATCCCTGCAAGCCAGAAGAGGGCACCAGATCTCATTACAGATGGCTGTGAGCCACCATGTGGTTGCTGGGAATTGAACTCAGGACCTTTGGAAGAACAAGCAGTGCTCTTAACCTCTGAGCCATCTCTCCAGCCCTGGAATTTCTTTCTTTTTCTTTTCTTCTTCTTCTTCTTCTTTTTTTCTCAAGACAGGGTTTCTCTGTGAAACAGTCTTGGCTGTCCTGGAACTCACTCTGTAGACCAGCCTGGCCTCAAACTCATAGAGATCTGCTGGCCTCTGCTTCCCGAGTGCTAGGATTAAGGCATGAGCCACTGTTTGGAATTTCTTAAAGGTCCCACGATAGCACTTGAAATAAGCAATCAAACCTTCAAACCCCCTAATGAAATGTATTCTCTTCGTATTTTTATACTCATACACATAAAATAACATTAAAAAATAAAACCATAGTTTTATCCATGTTATTTGTGTGTTTGCAAGCATATATGTATGTATGTATGTATGTATGTATGTATGTATGTGTGTGCACAGTACATGCATGCCTGGTATTTTTGGCTGTCAGGAAAGGGAGTCAGATCCCCTGGAATTAGTTAGGGATGATTGTGAATAGCCATGTAATTGTTGGAAACCAAACCTAGGTCCTCCCAAGGGCAGCAAGTGCTCTTAATTGCTGAGCCACCTCTCCAGCCTCTTATATGTTTTTTTGAGACAGGGTCTTACACATAGAGATTGTCCTGAAACTCACTAAGTATTCCAGACTGGCCTCAAGACTCTCAATCCTCCTGTTAACTAACTCTTCGGCTCTGTGACTGTAGGTGTGTGCCGCCAGATCTAGTTTATAAAGTGCTAGGGATCCGACCCAGGGCCTCACGAATGCTAAGCAAGCACTTTGGTAGTTAACCGAGCTCCACTCCTCGCCTCACTCACTCCCACACCTTTCTTTTGTGATATACTATCTATTTTCTGAAAAGATCTCTTGGTTTTATGTGTGTGGGTGTTTTGTCCACATGTACATCTGTGCACTATTTGCTGTGCCAGCAGTTACAGACAGTTATGAGCCACCATGTGGATGCTGGGAATTGAACCTGGGTCCTCTGGCCACTGCTCTTAACCACTGAGCCATCTCTCCAACCTCACTTTTTTTTTTCCCCCTGGGACAGAGTTTGTTTGTATAGCCCTGGCTATCCTGGAACTTACTCTGTAGACCAGGCTGGCCTTGAACTCAGGGATCCGCCTGCCTTTGCCTCCTGAGTGCTGGGATAAAAGGTGTGTGCCACCACTGCCCGGCTTCTGTACTGCTATTTCTTGATCATTTAGTTTAGATATTACCTATTTGACTTCTATTATGGTGCATGAAGGATTTCAGCTTACATATGACCTGCTCTTCCTTCTCTCCATGCTTTTTAAATAAATATATAAATCTCAACTGCTACCTCCCAAAAGCTAAGGTTACAGCTATGCACCATCATATTTAGTATATCCGTGGTACTGATATATCTCAGGGCTTTTTGCTTGCTACACAAGTATTTTACCAATCAAGCTCTGTCCCCAGCCCCACAACTGGCATTTTCATTGATTGCTGCTGACTGTATTTTTTTATTTCCCTGAAAAGGGCAAAAAAAACAAATTGTAATTTTAAATCATTAGGACACAGAGAACATCAATACTGCTAGTATTGTTAGCCTAACACTACTGAGGCAACACAGGATGTTGATGCAGGATAATTTTGAGTTTTGGGCCAGTTCAGGCCACATTCTCAGACACCCTTATTTAGAGGCATTCTTGTAAAAAGGAAAATATTAATACACTGTAGTGATAGTCTAGTGATGACATATTCTGAGACGTTATAAAAGCTGTTAGAAAAACGGTGAACTTAAATGAAATAAATGAAAGAGAAAAAAGGGGGGAACTTAAGACATCAACCACCTTACCTCTAGTTGAGCTAGTTTTTCCTGAATCTTACAAAACTGATTATCATCCACCTGAACGGCTTTCCTCATCACTTCTCCCATTTCACAGATTCTGTCAATCTGACTTTCAATTTCCTGCGAAAATAAAATGGGAAAAAAATAGTTTTTAGTTATAAAGACCACAAAAAGCATGTGCATTATGAATTTTAAGTCTATTAAAAACCTTGCAGAAATAAACTGGGAGGGGTTCATTTAGTACATGCTACAGAAGTTACACTTCAATTACCCTATATTTTGAGCCATAATAATAAAAATCTGTGGTATTTCAAATAATTTCCACTTTTCAAAAGAGCATTTGATATCCAGGTGTCAAGTGTGGTAGCATACTCCTGTAGTCCTGTCCTTGGGAGGCTGAGAAGGGTGGATGCCAGCCTGTACTAAATGGTACCTAGCCTCAAAAACAAAACAAAACAAAACAGATAATAACTCAAATATTTAGATATTTAAAACATTCCAGTTCCCTAAAACTTGTAAGTCAGTAAAACGCATCCAATGGAAGACGAAACATCTTTCACTGTAGTAAATAGTAGCTTCCAATCTAAGAACTGTAGATTAGAATACATAATATGTGCAAATATATAACAAGGAAGCACCTTACAAACTGAAAAATTACTGGTTTTCCAAATTAAACAGTAGTTAAAACGTAGGAACGGCCATAAAATAAACAAGACCCCCGCCACATCCCCAGTGACAGAATGTGAGTCATTCAGTGAGGTTAGTGACTGCTTGCTGTGTGGAAGACAGATAAAACTGAACTCATGCCCCCAAAGTACAAAACTTACAGCCTAGTAGAACATACAAGTAATAATCAGCCAAGCATTCACTGAACGCTTTCAACACTAGCTGCCATCATGCTTGCTATCTAGCTTGCTATGTAGCCCAGGTTAGCCTAGAACTCTAACTCATCCTGTCTCAGGTTGAATAAGAGATCTTGGTGAGGGAGGTGATATCACTCAAAAGGATGTGGGGAGCCCCTGATCCCCTTCTCTTATTCATACTTCACAAAGCCTCAGCCAGATACAGAGTGAACATGAAAACCATGAAAGAGGAACATGCTTTTCTGCAAACAAAACAACAACCTCAAGATTCCAGTATGGTTTATTTAGAATTTATTTATCGGTGTTTCCTTACTGCAGAGTGAGACTGGTGAGCTTTCAGGACTGGTTCGGTATCCACTGCCTTTTTAGCAACCATTAACTGTAACATCTGTTTCCGGTACTTGCTCATGATGAGTTCCAAAGCATCCTGGTGCTCCTCCAAGGAAACCCACAGCTCTAACAAAAAAGCAAACATCTGGGCAATGATGTCTGTAACAGGTCCCAAGGCAAACCTCCTAACAGCTGGGGCTTTCTGATACTCCATGGGATATTGTGAATCCAAAGCTGGGAATTGATATTCAAGCCCACAGAAGTGAGTAAAGTCTACGTGAAAAACAACTTTCTACACAGTAGAGTATTGTAGAAGTAACATGGGATATGTAATCACAAGACACAGATTTGAATTCAGTTTTCTAATTTACTTGCTTAAATTAAAACAACTTTCTAGACAGTAGAGTTTTGTAGAAATAACATGGGATATGTAATCACAAGTCACAGATTTGAATTCAGTTTTCTAATTACTTGCTTAGAAGCAAAATGAGCGCATTAAAAAAAATTTTTTTGTTGATTTGAGTGCGAACACCACAGTGTACATGTGAGGTCAGAGAACAACTTCCAGGAGTCAATTCTCTCCTTCCACCATGTGGGTCCTTGGAATGGAACTCAGGTCCTCAGGCTTGGCTCTTCAGGCCTTCTGGCTAGTGCCATTACCTGCTGGGGCATCTTGTTGGCGAATGTGAACCTGTCTCTCAACTGCGTTGTGTAAATACCCGGGTTGTCGATCTCAAAACGATGACGACAGGGGAATATAATGGAATGGAAGATGTAAAAAGGTCTCTGTCAGACAACTGCCATACTGTTGTCATAACCAACCCTAAGAATGTATATTTTGGGGACAAAGTTCTAGCCGTCCATCTTGCACAGGTACATAAAACAAAGATAAAAACAAAAAACCACCTCGATCTTAACTTTAGTGTTCACTTTAATTAATATTAAAATATTACATTTATAGACTCTGAACTTAGGTATATACGCCTCCATCTGGTATGTGCCCCCCCCCCCCCCCCGCCATCTAACAACTCAGCTCTACTAAACAACTTTCAAAGTCATCACTCAGAAGACTTAAAAGAGTAATCTGATAATTTTACTGTTACCATATGACCTTTTAAAGCACTGACCCTAGATATAGATATGAAACGTACACTCTTGTGAATGTCCAAATTATTACCAGACAAGGAAAAAAAAGAATCCTGCACACACACACACAGAGGAGGCCGGACTAACCTCTGTTTTCTTGCTGCAAGTCTCTAATCTGGGTATTCTCTTGAGACAGCAGAATGTGAGGTTTATATTTAGACATGTCCTTCACGTCGGGTGCATCCTCTTGATACTGGACGGACGACAGACAGACAGATTAAGCCGCTGCAAACACAGGCAGGTGCTGCTGAGGCGGCAGCAGTCCCACCCATCACAGAGGAAGTTCTCACGCCCGCCCTGCCCTCCGGACCAGGATAAATCAGGCGGCGACCCCACCCGCCCGCTCCCCGTCGCACCCACCCCAGGGCGCGGCCCGGCCCGGCCCGACCTGCTCGGGCAGCACGGCGCCCGCCTCCCGCATCGCCGCCACCCGCCGGTGCAGCGCGGCCGACTGGTCCACCAGCGACTCGGCCGCCGCATCGTGCTCGCGCAGCCGCTCCAGCAGCGTCTTGGCGTCCGTCAGGATCTTCTCGATCGTGCAGCTCATAGCGGCCGAGGACGCCCGCCCGGCCCGCTGGCCTCGGCGATTCGCTCAGCCCGTCCCCAGTTTGGGATGAGCGCGATTCGCGTCACTTCCGGGCACGCTTTAAAGGCGCCTTGGCAGCCCGGTCGGCGCCTGCGCAGTGCGGGATTCGTGGTAACCTCTGGTTTAGCCACAGCCTTTTTTGGGTGGAGCAGCAGAGGTCGGCTTCGTGCCACATCCTGGTTCTTCACGATGTTACAGCTGTTCCGGTCTCAGTTCTCCTTTTCTTCTGGTTTTGATTGATGTGGTCTGTCATGGGATTTCAACAAACTGATAACACACACACACACACACACACACACACACACACACACACACACACACACCCCAACAAGTGGTAAAATACACTGGAACCTCTCACTTCCTCCCTCCTCCCTCCCTTCCTCTGTGCCCTTCCTCTTCCTTCCCACCCCTTCTTCCCTTCCTCCACTCCTCCCCCTCTCCTCTCTTCTTCCCTCCCTCCCTTCTCCTTCCTTTAAAAGCTGAACAGTGGCTGAGGAATGGCACCTGAGGTTGACCTCCGACCTCCACATACACAACTGCACCTGTGTATGCAAACAGGCATAGTCTCTCCCTCTCTCTCTCTCTCTCTCTCTCTCTCTCTCTCTCTCTCTCTCTCTCTCTCTC